TAGGAGGTCTTTAGACCAAGCCAACTATATAATAAAAATTCTAGTTTTTATTGGCCAAATATGATTCACAAGTCCTATATTTTTTGAGCGCGTAATTTTTACTACTGTACTTCGTAAAACATATCAAATATATATAATACACATAACTATATAATGCAATGGTTAATGTACTGATTAAACATGGCAAAGAAATTAAATTTGGTTGGGAAGGGTTTCCAATTTATCATAAACAAACTTTAGAAGATTCTTTGTTTTTTTTTCAAAACCTGATTCTGAAAACGTGATTGCAAATAATGCAAATAAAATTGATGAAGTTTCATCATTTAACAACAATAGTTCATCTAATTCTAATATGAAAAGGTGCTTTACTGAGTTGGAAGAAGATAGTGAAAATGATCCATTATTTTCAGATTATGACGAATCAATTGAAAACCAGTCAGAATTATTTGAAAAAATGACAATGATGTTTCTAACGATGATGATGTTTTAGAGATTATAAAGAAAGTTAAGGTTAATGACTCATTAACTTGTAATAGTCCGATGAAAGTTCCATGTTATTCATCTAATTTAAGGAATCACCAGTAAGTACAACTTAAATGACTGTGAAATTAATTGTTACAAGAAAGAAAAAGGACAAAAAATTTAAAAACTCATGTCATGTGACATCAAATTTTTTTTGGGAATTTTACAAATTCCGCCCAGCGGGTGGTGAGAACCTAAATTTTATTTGTGTCCCCTTATATTTTACATATGTGCATATATAACACAAGACAAGATTGATTTGTGAGAATGATCGGATGATCTTATATTGATATAAAAAAAAGAAAAGAATTATTTTATATAACTTGGAAATATTTATTAACATTTAATTTAAAACCAAATATATTCTTTTAATATGCCACAGAAATCTTTATTTTATATTTTTCACCATAATGTCCTGGGAAAAAATAGGTATTATTAAACAGTCTTGCAATACGATATGCATCATTTGTATCATTTAATTTAACAAGAAATTTCGAGGTAACTGAGTATTTTGAACTAAAATTTGGTTTTTGTAAAACAACAATTAATTCAAAATAAAATAAATCCATTAAAAAAATTAATTATTAACAATGAAGACTTACTTTGGTAAAGGAAAAATATATTCTTGATTCCTAAGTGAAGGAAAATCAGATAAAAATTTTGATATAATTCTCGAACCAACATCCCTTGGAGTTCCTGTAATTATGACACTTTTTCCTTGACTTGGACCAAAGTTCATAACAGTACTTTTTTTATACATTTTCCATTCATTAAGCATTTCCTCATAACCAAAGTCTTGTGCTTTCAACTGTAATTATAATAATCATTATTTATAATAATCATAATAATATGGCAAGTTTTTTAACTTTTAATTTACATACAATAAAATTCATTTTCAATTGACCTCCACTACTTAAAAATTTAGTCGGTGCATACATATAAAAATTTTTTGCAAATGTAGTATTTCTGAATTGAACAATTGCTGATCCAGTGAGATTGAAAACGCGATCACGAAGCATTAAAACTTTGATTGATATATTAAGTGACTCATTAATAACATGAAATTAACCTATAATTATAATCTAAATAATAAGTAAATAAATATCTTACCATCATCAATACTTTTTTGATCACCATTTACTTCTTTTGACAAAAACAAAATATCATTAGTGATTACAGTATTTGCTAATCCATCGATCCTTATGAAACGACTTGTTGCCATCATGCCTGGATTAAGAACTCTTCTGGTGTTGGAATTTGTCAAATTTCCTGGTACTTTATCCCATTGCCTTAACATGGAAGAAGGGGGTGGGTTTGATTTTATTGTTATCATATTATTGCTTAATTTACTACGTTCTTTAAGTATACTTGAAAATGAGACGGGTGAAGCTGGTGAAGGGGAAGAGGCGGAAGGAAACAATAAAGATTCTAAGGCTTCTGGTTCTGATTTTGTTTGTTGTTGGTTCTTTTCGCTTTCAGTAGAAATCGTAATTTTTTCATTATCTGGTGACGATGATGGTGGTGGTAATGTTTCATTGGAATTATTGTTGTTAAAGTCGTCTAGTAATTTACTACTATTATATAAATATCTTGAAGTTATTGTTATTGTTTTTTGAAATTTTGAAATTGAAATCGGATGTTTAGATATTGTTGAATTGATGGTTGAAAAATATTTATTAAACATTTTTTCAGAAAAAATTTTTTAAGAGATCAAAGATGAATTGTGAATATTTTCAGCCAATCAAATTACACACATCGTGTAACGAAAGCTTTAATAATACACACCCCAACAAAAAGTATCGACTCAATGATCCGCCAAAATAATCGAATAAACGGGTAATACAAATACTCGTTTTTTTTTACTAAGCAAATCGATGCTGTGTATTAGTAAGAAAATGTTTGTTGAAATGATTAACATGATAATCTAAAATATCACATTCGGCCGATTGTTATTGATAATTATATGATGTTTAAAAGTCAAATTAAAATTTTTTGAAAATTTTTTGAAAAAGTAGCACTTAGAGCTATTTTAAGATACGATGTTTTAACACATCTTGGGAACTTAGAAAATGTTGCTCCGTTTATTCTCAAATATATATATATACATGTTCATAATTATTGATCGAATATTCATGGAGCATTAATACAAAACGTAAAAAAAATCGTAATGAATTTTTTATGCAAGACAATTATCATTATGCGTGAACAAACTTTAAAGGGCAAATACGGCTGAAATATCTAACCAAAACTAGATTTTTTTAAAAAAAAAAAGATTGAACTTTCAATTTGTTATTTCAATTAAAACATCATGTCTCAATTAACAGACTTTGAATAATTGGATATTGGGAAGCAGATGAAAGCGTTTGCGACATTGCTGGTGCACTCAATCATTCTCAGTCACAAGTAACTCATGCAATAAAAGCATTTAAGATCAAACTACTATTGCTCCCCAAAAAAATACAAATGAATTAATTTCTTATTTAATGGATTAATGGGTAAATCTTGATTGTGATTATTTGCAAAAATTAGTAGACAGCATTCCTTGAAGGGTCCAAGCTGTAATTGAATCAAAAGGAAACCCAACAAAATATTGAATAAATGAATGAAATATTTATACTTTTTTGATACTTTTGATATAAATTTAATAAAGATTTATTATGTAAAAATATTATACAAACTGTTGATGAAAATTTTTTCATTATTTTTACATTTTGTATTAATGCTCCATGAATATTTGATCAATAATTATGAACGTGTATATATATACATTTGAGAACAAATGGAACAACATTTTCTAAGTTTCCAAGATGTGTTAAAACATTGTATCTTAAAATAGCTCTAAGTGCTACTTTTTCGAAAAATTTTAATTTGACTTTTAAACATCATAAAATTATCAATAACAATTAGCCCAATGTGATATTTTAGAGTGTTATGATAATCATTTCAAAAAACATTTTCTTACTAATACACAACATCGATTTGCTTAGTAAAAAAACGAGTATTTGTATTACCCGTTTATTCGATTATTTTGACGGATCATCAAGTGAGTCGATACTTTTTGTAGGGGTGTGTATTTATTCCATCTAGTTCATCAATAAATCATAATATTTAAAGAAATGGAAATATATCTGGAAATTATTCCAACTTCAACACTATCTTTTTCTGGTTCTCGAGCTTTCTTAATGTCTACAATATCTAGCAATAACAATAATAGTAATATTATTAATAATAACGATAGTAGGAGGATTTTAATACTATGGATAATAATTGGTTTCTTTTGAAAACTAAAAAGACGTAATCGATGACTAATTTTCATAGAAACCTATATAAACTTCTGAATTTATATCCTTAATTTTAATTAATTATTTTTAAAAATATATACATATTATTTTTCCTAAAAACCTTATTTATAACAAAACAATTATGATTTTGTATTAGTATATATCTAGAATTTATAACAAGAATTATATTTGCAATATAAATACATCGATGTTAATAAATATTTTAAAATAATGGTTCTAAGAGCTCAAAACATTTTTCAGAAATATAACAACGATTTTCTTTAATTACTTTAATTAATTATTTTAACAATTGAAATTTAAAAAAAAATAAAAATGTTTTAATTCCTTGTCTACAACGTAATAACTCTATTTTTTGTTTATTATGCCTTTTTAAATTTGTATTAGTAGGCATCTAGAATTTATGACAAAAATTACATTTGCAGAGATTAAAAAGTCCCATCTGCATAATGAGTTATAACAGTTTATGCAAAGGCGTTTTCTTTATTTAATTAATAGTTTGTTTATTATTATATATAAAAATTATTGACAAATCCTTCTTCACACATTAACATCTTATCAAGAATTAACGCCAACACTAAAAATGAATTCGAATTCTGACCTATTATTATTATTGGAAAATGGCCCACGGAATTTCGCTTTTTTAAAGCTCCTATTAACAGAGGTTGAAATACCAAAATATTCAACACAGTCTGGGATTGTAAAGTTCCAATCGGATTTGGTGGGATATTTTGCTTTACAAGCCAAATGTATAATTATAAACGTAAATTTTAGCAATTGTACCAGGAATAGAAAGCTCTACATCAACTCTTACGTGGGAACTCGCTACATGTACCAATATAATTTATTTAAATCAAGCAAAAATGCATACATATTTAAGAGTTTTTTTTACCTTCAGTGACAGCTAAATTAACAATTATGCAAAAATGATGATAGAATAAAGGTGATGCTTTCAAGATTTTGTTTTTTTCCTCAAATGGAATAATAACAAACGAATGTATTTTGATTTTTTAATTTATTTTTAAGAATTAATTTGCAGATGTGTCTATTTATAAAAATCTGTCTCATAGTTGCATTTTATTATTGACTATGTGAAGCGGTTTCATATTTCACATATTTCATAGCTTCATGATTTCTCGTGAAATTATGTATCGACAATAATAACAGCCAAACGTCATTTTAGTCAAAAGTGTTTTTCCGGTGAATTACTATTACGATCGGGATTTTATTAGTATTAATATTAAGGTTTAGCTTACCAGTCGTATGACATTTCACTTTTATTGATTTCTCTTAGAATATCATGTTGAAATTGTAAATCATCTATTTCTTCTATCAAAGAATCAAATTTGCTCGTTCGCTTCAATGATTAAATGTATTAAATAATAAATATGTAGTACACTTCCCACTCTCTCGATAACGGACCGAGAATTTAAGCCCATTTATATCTCCCATATTAATATATAAATTATTACTGTTTATAACGGATTCTTTATATTTTTTATCTTAATTATAATACTAATACTAATACTAAATATTAAAATGGCCGAGATGTAACGATCTGGTGGCCGTTGTCATTGGCCAAAATTTCAACCCCTGAAAATTTTAACGTACTATTACTAATTATTATTATAATGCTGACTGATACTAATACAAGTGTAATGATAACGTCAGAGTTGCTATTTATTTTATATATTATAGTCGGGGAAAAAATAATTCTTTGATTTTTTTCTTGATATAACCAACCATGGACTATGAATTTATAAAGAATGATAAAAAAAAAAAAAGAATTGGAATATTGACGAGTGGTGGTGATTCACCTGGAATGAATGCCGCTGTTAGATCAATAGTAAGAGTTGCTATTGCACGTGGATGTGAACCATATGCAATTTTTGAGGGTTATCAAGGTAATAACATGTACTGTATATACATGTATATATATATTAATATATTTATCATTTTTTTGAAGCATTTTTATGATTATATAAAAAAATTACGTTACAAATATAGGTTTGGTTCAAGGTGGCGACAAAATAAAAAAGTTTGGGTGGGGTGATGTTAGGGGTTATTTGGCAATAGTGAGTTGAGATTTTAATTAAATTTAAATTCTAAATTATGATTAAATAAAAATTATTGATTTCATTCCAAATTTTGTAAAATCATATATTATTAGGGTGGTACACTTATAAAAACTGCTCGTTGTAAAGAATTTCAAGAACGTGATGGCAGATTAAAAGCAGCATACAATTTGATTAAGAATGAAATAGATTCATTAATTGTGTGTGGAGGTGATGGTTCGTTGACTGGAGCAGATATTTTTAGATCAGAATGGCCTGGGTTGATAGAAGAATTGGTTAAATTGGGTAATAATAATCAATGATGAAATGTTATCTGATTCTTAGTAGCATTAATATTAAAATATAATAATTTCACTGGATAGGGAGAGTTACAAAGGAAGAGGCAGCATCTCATAATAATCTAACAATTGTAGGAATGGTTGGTTCAATTGATAATGATATGTCATCAACTGATCTGACCATTGGAGCTGTTACCTCGTTACATCGAATTTGTGAAGCTGTTGACTGCATTGCATCTACAGCATATAGTCATTCACGTGCTTTTATCATTGAAGTGATGGGAAGGAATTGTGGTTGGTTGGCATTAATGGCAGCAATTAGGTATTAAGAGATGTTTTTTTTTTTTATAATTTATGAGTGATTTTCAACTTATTTTGGCATAAATTCATCAAAATATATTTTGAATTATAAAATAAATTATATAGTACCAATTCAGATTTTGTTTTTATTCCTGAAAGTCCACCATCATCAGATAATTGGGAAGAAGAAATGTGTCAAGTTATTAAAAATGTATATAAATATATTAGTTTTTTTTTTGTAAAATGGATTTAAATTATTATTAATTTAAAGTTAATGCATATTCCTAGCATCGTAATCTTGGAAAATTTAGAACTATCGTGATTGTTGGAGAGGGAGCTATTGATAAAAACTTGCAACCAATAAAAGCTGATTACATCAAAGATCTTTTAAAAAATAATATGGGTCTTGATACCAGAGTTACAACATTGGGTCATATACAACGTGGTGGAAGACCATGTGTCTTTGATAGAAATCTTGTAAGTAATAAGTAATTTATATCAATATATGAATTTATCATTATTAAAAAAAAACTTTTTTTTTAAAAAAAAGGCAACTTTACAAGGTTATGAAGCAGTAAAAGCAATTCTTAATGCAACGCCTGATAGTGAATCACCTATGATTGGAATTAAAAAAAATAAGATTACATGTGAACCTTTAATGAAAGCAGTTAAATTAGTATGTGATGATGCTTATATGAATCATTTATTTATTTATTATAAATCTATTTATTTATTTATTTATTTTGTTCAGACACACCAAATTGCAAAGGCTGTTGAAAAAAAGGATTTTAAACAAGCTATGGAATTACGTGATTCAGAATTTATCGATGCTTTTGATGTATACAAAGCAGTCATATTCACTGATGGCTATGCATCTAAATTAGAAGAATCTAAGGTTCAATTAACTGTCAATAAAATTTCTTATTTATATTAATATTTTCTAATTTTTCTCATGTATTTTTAGCGTCTTCGTATTGGAATAATCCATGTTGGTGCGCCAGCTAGTGGAATGAATGCAGCAACAGCCGCAGCTGTTCGATATGCACTTAATCGAGGTCATATTCCTGTTGCAATATTTAATAGTTTCAAGGGTCTTTTAGAAGACAACCTCCGAGAATTTTCTTGGATAGATGTTGATGGTTGGACTCCTAAAGGTGGCTCAGAACTTGGCACCAATCGAAGTGAACCTGATACAGATATTGGAATGGTGGCATTCCAATTTCAAAAACACAGAATTGATGCTTTACTCTTGATTGGAGGTTTTGAAGCTTACAGCTCGCTTATCAAATTGAATAATGCTCGGAATATTTATCCAGCATTTTGTATTCCAATGATTTGTTTGCCTGCTACCATATCAAACAATGTTCCTGGCACAGATTATTCCTTGGGCAGTGATACGAGTTTAAATACTATAGTTGACTGTTGTGATACAATCAAACAATCTGCCTCTGCTTCCAGAAGAAGAGTTTTTGTGGTTGAATTACATGGTGGTTATTGTGGTTATTTGACAGTTTTGGCCGGACTTGCGGTAAATGCATTATTATAATTATTTTAACTTTTTTCCAGATCAAAATAAATAAATGTATGTTTTTATAAATGTTATATATATATGTGTGTATTTGTAAATGTATAGGTTGGAGCAACAAGTACATACATTCCAGAAGTAGGATTATCTTTAAAGACTCTTCAATCGGATGTTGATCATTTGAATAGAAGATTTAGTGAAGATAAAAAAGGTGCAGGTTCAGGACGTTTAATTCTCAGGTAAAATACTTTGCTTCATAATTATGGAATATACAATTATTATTATTTTTAATTATTTACCATTTATTTAATATAGAAATGAATGTGTGTCTACTACCTATACAACAAATGTAATAGCTGATATTATTCAAACTGAAGCTCATGGACTATTTGATTCCAGAACAAGTATTTTAGGTCACATTCAGCAAGGTGCTACTCCATCACCTTTAGATCGTATTCGAGCAATTAAACTTGCAGTAATGTGTGTTAAATTCTTGGAGAATCATGCATTTTCTTCAACTTCTACCGTTACTGCTACATCAAAAAAGTTATTATCACCATCATCACATTTACTGCCACCTCAAACTTCCATTGCAAAACCAAGGGTTTACACCAATGTTAAAGAATCTGCTGCTGTGATTGGAATTGATGGTGAACATGTCGTTTATCGGGTGAAAATTTTGTTTTATTTTATATTTTTTGTTTCACAGGATAAAAACGATATTTAACAATTAATATTTTTAACATAAATATATATATTTGTATACATAGCCTGTTATTGATTTACTGCCAGAAACTGATATGGATAGACGTAAAAGCACTAAAGCTTGGTGGATTCAAATAAAAGGCTTAGTAGACTTGTTATCAAAATGGGGTGAAATATTTGAATTCATTCATTCACTTATTTATTTATTTCTCTATTATTAATCAATCGATTAATCTGCAGGTTATTCTGACAAGAAAGAAGAAGTGGATCAATTGTTTCATGATGTTAATGATATATTTATGCAAGAATAAACAAAAAAACATTCGTATAAATAAAATTCATTGATCATTTATGCGCATTTTAATTATCTAATGTTAAGATTAGATAAATTTCTTTTTATTTATCGTTATTATATTATTATTGTCATTATCTAATATTTTACTACGTTTCTATCTAATCCCTTCAATTCGACGAAATCCAACTATACTTGCCGAAATTCAAAACCCAAATAGTCCCAATTCCCAAAGTCACAAATAAAAAGTCACATGTTCTAATTTTTTTAGTATTACCACATAAACAAAATTTCATTTAGGACAATATTCGTAAAACATTAGCAATAATAACAAAACAATGGCTCATCAGAAGATAAGAAATTGTGACAAAACAAAGAGTCAGAAGGAATAAACAGAGCGACAAGATGTGATAGAATCAGTGATTAAATTAACATAATTGATGATTTTATTCAACAATGTCAAATGAAATCATCTTTACCAGACTATATTTTAGAATGGATACCTTTTGAGCAATTTGAAAAAGTAACAAAGTTAACAGAAGGTGGATTTAGTTCAATTTATATTGCAGAATGGACAAGAGGGAGAATAGTTGATTATGATGAAAATAAAAAGGAATTTAATTATCTTGGAGAGAAAGATGTAGTATTAAAAAATTTAAATGATTCAAGTAATCAGGAAAAGGCTTTTTAATGAGGTTGGTATTTGTTTATTTAAAACAAAAATAAACAATACTGTGTTATATAATACTAATTGATTTATATTCAATTATAGTCAACAAATTATTATAAAATTAAGGCATTACTGATTGTTCAATGCTATGGTATAACTAAATTCCCAGATAATGTGAATTATGCAATTGTTTTAAATTATTTATCAGAAAGAAATTTAAGGGATTATTTGCAAAAAAATATTTAAATTTAGCATTAAGAGACAGAATTGGAATCTTTGATTATTTATGCAATGCATTAAATGAGATACATCAGAAAGATTTAATACATTGTGATTTACATAGTGGCAATATATTATTGAAAGGAAGTGGTTGTTACATTACAGATTTGGGATTATGTGGACCAGTTGATGATGAATCATCAAATAGTCTATGGAATTATATCATATGTTGCACCTGAACTACTTAGAGGCAAAATTGATACAAAGAATCTGATATCTATAACTTTGTGGGAAATATTTCCAGGTCATCCACCACCATTTGATGATAGAGCTCACAATCATTGTTTGATTTTTGATATATGTGAAGGTTTACGACCACCAATACTACCTGAAATGCCTGAAAATTATGCACAAATGATGAAGAGGTGTTGAGATGTGGCTCCATCAAAACCAACTAGTAGAAAGCTTTGGACATTTTCTGTAAATAAACATAATGAAATTATTAAAAATGAAATTTGAAAAATAATAGTAGTAATAATAGTTTAATAAAAATATTATTCAGATTTTCTAAAATCAAAAAAACACGAAATTGATTTTAATAATGATGGCAGCAGCAGCAATGCGGTCGCATTTACTTCGTCGAAAATTATTTCGTCGACAATCATTTCGTTGACACCCATTTCGTCGAAAATTATTTCATCCTCGAGCCAGAGACTGAACGAGTTAGATGTGAGGAGTGTGGGAAGTTAGTTAAGAAATTAGGTGAGGAAAGCGGGGTGTGTGGAAAGTGTGAGGAGAAATTTGTTTAAAGAAGTTTTTTTTTTGTGACAAAATGAACTTTTGATGAAACAAACTTTTGACGAAATGGGTGTCGATGAAATGAATCAGACCCACATACAATTAGAAAGTTCTAAGTTTCTCGTCATAGGTAATTTCTGTTCAACAATTATATCATGATCGGTTTCATAAAATTTTTTTTTTGTCTCTTCAAATATTCAATAAGCTGTCCTGTGCTATATTTTCGACCCAGCTCTTCCAAGATGCTTGCATCTTTCCCTTATATTATCTTGGCTGAAGTAGAAATCGGTGTAGTTATCGTATACGTATTTATGTTTTTGCAAAAAATCAAGAAAAAAGAGACGCGTTGATGAGACATGACACAAAACATGTTAAAATAATAAATACAAAGTTTGATTGTTCATTATGTATATAACTAGAGTGACGACGAGTGGCAATAACCACCACCACCATCCTTATGACAAACAACACTTACCCATATTATTTTTCAGCTTCGTTTTCTCCTTTTATTTTATTTTTGTTTTGTTTATACATTTTGATTAAAAGAAAAAATAAAAATTAGTTAAAAAAACGGGAACCGATTCTGTTAATATTAATATTAATACGAATATGTACTAGTACGGGACTTTATCATATTCGGATGAATTCAAATATTCGGTACTACATACCAAATAGCAATCATAACATAACAATAAATAAATGTACAATAATTTTTATTTTATTTGAATAAAAACGAAGAGTAATTTGAATAAAACGAATTTGAATAAAATGAATAAAAAGCGAATAATTTGAATAAAATGAATAAAACGAGTAATTCGAATAATAATTTGTATTGCGAATAGAGAAACTCTACTATTATAAACAAGATCCGAAATATTAATATAAAATTTTAATTAACGATTGATTTATTGTTCTTTCACTTGGTCAAAAAGCGACGTTAATCTTTTCTTTTAAAATTAATTTATATGAAATAAACAAAATAAAATAAAAAATAAAATAAAAAGATTAGAACACATGTCCAAAACACAATGTTATTTTAGCATTCTATTTGGAATGTAGTACCGAATATTCAAATGCGTAACGGGATATTCGAATATTCATGATCAAAATCACTTACTATCACTATTACACTAGGAATGTACACGGAAATCCCGTATTAGCATGTTAATTATAATATAATTTTTATAGAGAAGCGTGTTAAAATAGTAATTGAAGGCACACATATTAAAAAATAGAATTTCTGTGTCTCCATTAAATAATTAAATCTTTAAAAAATATTACAAAATCGCGAACGCTTTTGTACAAAAAAAACCCCCAATTTTTTTATGTGATCAATAATGTTAATAATTACAAGAAATGCCATGATAAAAAAGGCAACATGATTATTGAATATTCTCTCTTATGCACGCACACATGGAAAAATGCTCTTGAACAATCTGGGAATATCAAAAAGAGTCTATTTTATTGTTGGAAATTTACTTACAGGTATTGAAGTGTACCACCTTCAAGACTCGAATATTTAACATTCTCATCTTCCTAGCGTACAAAGTCTAATACGAACTGAGACACCCAATGATACAATGATGCAATTTAATTTTAGGTGGGATTCACAGCCTGAAGTTTATTGGAATTGTATTGTTCTCAATGAGAGTATTAAAGCCTCTCGCTTGTCTGAAGCCTCCTTCCTAGCTTGTTCGAGGGTCTTTTCTGTGGAAAAATTTATAATCCACATATAGGATTAACAACAACATCACCAACATATTTATTTATCCCTGGGACACACATTTTTACATAATTGAAATCATTTTTATTATTATCATTATTGCTGCTTGTATCAAGTGATTTACTTGTATCAAGCATTTTACTTACGTCAATTACGTCAAGTGGTTTTTATTTTAATCAAATCGTCAAAATAGCCCTGGTGAGAAACTATCTCTAGTTAGTTCTTTATGACTAAAGTCAAAAGTCTCGTCATACATCATTATTATGGGCAGAGATTTTTAAATAATAAAAATCCTCAGTTCGTTAAAAAAGGGTTGTTATACGGTGCAGATCATCTATAATCATTAATTGCTTATAGTAACAATTGGTCAACTTCAAAATACTAAAACAAAAAAA